GCCTTTGCCTTTTTTTGGCCTTTCCCCCCCCACACCCCCCTTTTTTTTTCCAACTCTTTTCCTATTTTCCCTCCGCACTGTAATGCAGTCGCGGTGGCTCCGCCGAGCGCTGCAGGGAGCCCCGCTCCACCCTGCCAGCCCCGGGACTTGGGTTTCAGCGGCGCTGGCAGCGCTGGCTGCTCCGCGGGCAGCCGCGCGCAGAGCGCCGAGTTTTGTCACACAAAAACAAGCCCTGGCTGCTCGGGGAGCAGCCTTGAAAACCTTCCTTTCCTCCTTTTTCCTAAAAGGAAAATCTTATTTTCCTTCCCAAGCAGAAAGGGTGTAAAAAGAATAGAGGAAATGGGACTTAAAATCTCGTTGTGGCTTTTTGATTTTTTTTTTTTTTTAAGAAGGACTCTTTGTAACTCATATCCTCAAGCGTGGTCTGCGCAGGGCTGATAGATGAGTGCCTGTTCCTCTTGACACGTAGGCATGGGTGCACGAGAGCACAGCTTGGATGCTGTTTGATACTTGGATTTATTTACTGCCACATTATGTAATTTGCCTGCATGATTTCTCTGGTGCGCTTCAGTATCGCCAGGTACAGCACATAGTGCAAAATTGTCCGGGGCTGAAACAGTGGTGCCATCCCCAGGCTTTTAATTACATTAAACAAACATTCCTTTAATTAAAGGTGTTTGTTTAACATTCCTCATGACAGCTCTTGGAAAAACCCACACATCAGTAGTGAGCAAAGGGGATGTTGGCATCCGACTTCCACCGAATTAGATCTTAAGCTTTTGTGGTGAGCGGGGGCGATGCGTGTAGGCCATATGGCTATGCAGAAAACTGGCCAAATGTGAACTGTTGCAGTGCTGGCACCCGTGGCGGTGCCGCCGCACCGCAGAGCCCTCGGAGCAGCAGCACAGCGAGTTCATGGGACTGTGCAGGGATCTCTGGATGGCGGGCAGGAAAACTTGGCAGTAGCAAGTCATGTTAGCTGCCCCCCAGCGCCGCTTGAGATGCTGGAGGGCAGGTAGGTACAGGGGCTGTTTGGATGGATGAGGGGTGGCTGCAGAGGGAGTAATTCGGATAATAAGGATGTGGATTTGTGTGGCATGGGAAGTTGGAAGAAGGGAGAGCCTTTTTTTTTCCTCAGTAGCTGGGAAGTTTTGAGTTGTGCAGATCGCACACTTAAGGGTTGCTTCAGCTCTGCTCACGCAAATGTTCACGAAAAGCAACCCGCGCTGGCATGGGAATCTGCAGTAATTATGATGAGAGTGCTCATATAATTCAGTGACTTTGTGTATTTAGATGCTTTCTTACTTGCATGTGTGAGTTTAATTGCTTCATTCACAGACTTCCATCGTTACCAACAGTGGAAAGCTCAGAAAGTCTAGG